GGCGAACAAAGCGGGGGTTCTGCCCGCAGCCTGCCCCCCCCCGGCTTCCCGCGGAGGGATGAGACGGGACGGGGCGAGCTGCCGCACGTCCCGCCGGTCGGTCGGATGCTCTTTTCCTCTCTCCTTCCCCTCCGCGCAGGGCGAACTCACCCTCCTTGGCTTTCTTCTTCCTCGCCAGGGTCCCGCCGAGCTTGCCCAGGAACGACTCGTCTTTCTTCATCCTGTGGGGCCGCAGCGTCGGGGATCGGACGGGCGCGGCGGACATGGGCTTTGCTGGTGGGGGAGCCCTGCCCAGCCCCAGCTCTGCCCCTGCCCGGGGAGGGGGATGAAGGGCCCCGCGGAGCCGAACAAAGCCCGGGGAGCGGGTGAATCGCCCGGCCAAGCCGCCACCGAGCGGGGAGAGCCGGCGGCGGGGGGTGTGTGGCTGTGTGTGTGTGGAGGGGAGCCGGAGCCGCACGGAGGGCAGGGGGCGGGCCGGGAGCTGCTGCCGGCGGCCACAGCGCCCTGCCACGGCCTGGAAGTCCGCGGGAGGCGGGGGCGGGCCCACACGGGCCGAGCCGGCCCCATCCCGCCCCGGCCTGAGGGGCCGGGGGGCAGCGAACCGCCCCGGGGGTTGCCTGAGGGGCCGGGGGCCCAGCGAACCGCCCCGGGGGTTGCCTGAGGGGCTGGGTGGGCAACGAAGCGCCCCGGGGGTTGCCCGAGGAGCCAGGGGGCAGCGAACCGCCCCGGGGGTTGCCTGAGGGGCTGGGTGGACAACGAAGCGCCCCGGGGGTTGCCTGACGGGCTGGGTGGGCAACGAAGCGCCCCGGGGGTTGCCTGACGGGCACCGAAGCGCCCCAGGGGTTGCCTGAGGGGCCGGGGGGCAGCGAAGCGCCCCGGGGGTTGCCTGAGGGGCCGTGGGGAAGCGAAGTGCCCCAGGGGTTGCCTGAGGGGCCGGGGGCGCAGCAAAGCACCCCGGGGGTTGGCTGAGGGGCCGGGGGGGCCACAAAACACCCCAGGGATTGCCTGAGGTTCGCCCCAGGAGTTGCCTGAGGGTCACCCCGGGCGACACCTGTAGAGAGAGCCTGCTCACCTTTCTGGGCCCGGGGCAGGCTGGCGTGTGGGGTGGGCCAGGCTGACAAGATAACACCTGTAGAGAGAGCCTGCTCGCCCTTCTGGGCCCGGGGCAGTCTGGGCTGTGTGTGGGGTGGCAGCTTGGCGTGTGGGGTGGGCCAGGCTGACAAGATGGGGTGTGGAGAGAAAGAGGGTAAAAACCAGAAAAGCAGGGGCCGGTCACAGCCAGGGCAGAGGATAAAACTGAGGGGTGACTCTTGTCAGGGCTCTGCTCAGCAGTTCCTCGCTGGCCTATGTTCCGGTCTGCCTCCCTCAGTTTTCTGGCCTCTTGTGTCCGGCTAAGCCGGCCTTCTCCTGCTGGCACCTTGCCTGGTGGGGTTGGCATCTCCCTTGGGGTAAGGTTTGAGGAGAAGGGGGGCCGTAGGCTCCGTGTTTGCCAAGCTCAGGGGTGGTGAAGTCCACGTGCACCTCCGAGATGGACACCGCCACCTCCCAGGTCTCCAGCCCTGCCAACACCGTACGCGTAGAGCATGAACACAAAAACGACCAAAAGCCAGAAAGTAGGTTTTGATCCCACCAAGAAGATAATTTCTCACTACTTGTTGTTTTACAGCACCCGGGAGCGTGTGAAGGGCTTCGTGGAACACACGCCAAAAACAACCCGAAGAGTTCGTAGCGTTCGGCCCCGATCCTGCAAAGTCTTAGGCACATGCTAAACTTTAAGCCCCTGAAGTGGTCCCATCGGCTTTAACGAGACCGCTGGGTGCCTGAAGTCCCCCCCGTGCTCCTGCGAGCAGCTCCTCGTCCAGAGCCCTGGCCCCAACAAAGAACCGCATTCAGATGGCTTTAACGAGACCGCTGGGTGCCTGAAGTCCCCCCCGTGCTCCTGCGAGCAGCTCCTCGTCCAGAGCCCTGGCCCCAACAAAGAACCGCATTCAGATCGACACGACTTGGCACAGGACCCGCACACCCAGCTCACAGGACAGATTTTCACACTTGACCTGACACAGAAGTACTGCTACACAGGACATCCGAGCGTAAGGCAGCGGAGAGAGTTTTCCGTGTCATTTTCACAAGAGATTCAGTCCCAGCTCATCCCCTCTGTCACGAAGACCTACTCTTGTCCCTCGCCTCCAGCTGCTTGTTGTTTTCCTACAGCCACTTAGGCAACTACTAAAAAAAAAGAACCACAAAAAAACCCAACAAACCAACCAAAATCAAAACCACCCTGCACAGCTTTCCTGTGTGACTGCACATGAAGTCACCCAAGGGCAAGTGCAAGCAGAAGGGAAGTAGAGGGGACACATGACTGGGGCTGGGAAGACCCTTCTGAATGGCAGCGCAGATGTCTGTGAAACTGAAAGTTATCATGATGACTTAATTACAGAATCACAGAATCTTCATGGTTGGAAGGGACCTTGAGATCACGAAGTTCAACCAAAGAAAAAAAAAAAAAAAACAAAAAAACCCAACCACAATACCAAAACAAAAAAACCAACACCCCATCACCACAACAATCACCACACCCAACAATCTCGGGCACTAGAGCATGCCCTGAAGAGCCACATCTACACGTTTCTTAAATACCTCCAGGGATGGTGACTCCACCACCTCCCTGGGCAGGCTGTTCCAGTGCCTGACCACCCTCTCAGGAAAGTAATTATTCCCAGTATCTAAACCTCCTCTGCTGCAACTTCAGACCGTTTTCTCTGGTCCAGTCATTATTCCCTTGGGAGAAGAGGCCAACACCCACCTCTCTACACCCTCCTTTCAGGGAGTTGTAGAAGGCAATGAGGTCCCCCTTCAGCCTTTCTTCATAGGACTTGTTCTCTAGACTCCTCACCAGCTTGGTGGCTCCCGAGTAGACCTTAGTTCTTTGGGAATCCAACTCTAAATACATTTAAGAATGAATACTAACTTTCTTTTTTTCTTTTTTTTTTTTTTTAATTCTAGCTTATGTTTCTAAGACGATGCTTTCAGAGGAAGGTGCCAGGCTGGACTAACACATTTTAATCCAGCTTTGCAATTATAAAGACATCATTACCAAGGAACAGGAGGGGTACTACTGCAGAACAGTGGATACGAGAAGTTCAAATGCTTTTTAGGAAGAGCTGTGCATTCCAGGAGCGGGCAGAGCGGTCCACGAGCCGAGGCAGGGCAGGGAGCTTCCATCGAGAGCCCGTCACTCACCGTGCAGTCACGGGCCCAAGGAACCCACCGGACCCAGCAACTGTCCCACCACGTCTGCTGAGAAGAGGATGCAGTCAAAACCAGGACAGAGACTGCTCTGAACTGCAAGGGAAGAGAAGCTGCACGGCACTCACCATTTAATGAAAATGCCTTTTGGTTCGATGAGGCTGCAGCCATGGAGGATGCTTCAGAATACAAACCCGAAACCGGAGGGTGTCTGAACCGGAATGGGGCTTTTTGTCCAGAGAGGGACACAGTGCAGGACGCGGTTTGATTTTGCCTGGAAGTGTTGGTAAGAGACAGAGAGGTTTGCGTTTCTGGCATAACTGCTATTAACAAAACGTGCAGTAGTTTCTAAATACAGAGATGCTGTTAATTTACCAAGGTGTCATTTTAAAATGTGCGGTTTTGAATGAAATCTGGAAATTTTTGGATAAAAATATTTTGCTTTTCCCTACTGAAAGTAATATTTAACCCAATAGCTAATGAAAGATTCAAGGAAACAACGCTTGCTCACCTGTTTATCTAAGGGGGCTTCTGTCTGCGTCTGAGCCTGTTTGCCTAACAGGCTCTATTCCTGATGTCGGGTTTTGCAAATCCACAGGAGATTGGCAAACAGAAAAATATGGTTTCAGAGCCTAGAATTGAGGGGGAGTCACAGGTTCAGAGCAGGACCTGCAGCTACTTTTAATATGCACCTTTATTGGATTAGATGTTCAAGTTTATAACATCCCTCTCCTCGAGCTGCCTCCTACCAAGTCACCCACGGCACTGCTGTGCATCACTCACAAAAGCAACCAAGAAATGGGAGCACTGTTTGTACATAGAATCATAGAATCATTGAGGTTGGAAGAGACCCTTGGGATCATCGAGTCCAATCATCTACCCTACTCTACAAAGTCCTCCCCTACACCATATCCCTCAGTACCCCATCTAAACGTCCCTTAAACACATCCAGGGACAGTGACTCATCTCAGAAGTCCTACATTCTAGGAACCTTGGACCAGGTTCCTCATCAGATTAATGAGCAGCATTGCCCCAACCGTCATTTCCTCCAGCTCCATGCGACTGTTACGTTACGTGCTACCACATCACTTAAATATCTCACAAAATAATACATCCTGTGGATTTTAACTTCATGGTCACTCCCGCTGGCTGTGCAAGTAGCATTATCCCTGGAGGAGTTGAAAAGACTGCTAAGACGTAGTCCTTAGGGACATGATTTAGTGATGTTTTTTGTCTGCGTTAAGTTGATGGTTGGACCTGACAATCTGAAAGGTCCCTTCCAACCTAGACAATTCTGTGACTCTCTATGTCTTGTGGTCTGCTTCACCAGCCAGGCTGCCGGGCGCTGGTCCTTCCCTGCTGAGCTTCTCCACTCAGGAGCCCTGGGAACACCGAGCTCAAACACGGATTGGTGACAAACAAAAATCTCAGGAAATCCTGGACAAAGCCTCTCTGGAGAAAGTATGACTTCTCTAAAAACAAACAAGCCAAAACCAAAATTTTGACCACACCATGCTTGAGAACTTCAGGGAACTGGTGCAAATTAGGGCAGTCTCTCACATCTAGCCCAAACCAGAGTGCAGCATACAGATTCCCTCTAATTGATCGTTTAATCCATCATGGGAACAATTCTAAAACTTCACTATTTTGCTTGTGCAAAGAGCAGTGAGAATTGTTACAAAGAACATGCAAATAAGGCACACCCTGGCACCATTGCAGCAAAACCACATTCTGCACGTTCTCCAGCTTCCAGTAGGTCTAGCCCCCAGACCAGTGGTGCCCACCTCTTCTTCCTGGGGTACTGTAGACTACAACGAAGACTCCAGGCACCTGAGGAAACGACCTTCACTGACCAAACCACTCCTTCAGCCCAATACTGTCTCGGAAAGGGCGCAAAACAGTTTAATAACTGTTTAATAACGACCCATATGCAGCCCCAGTGTGTAAGTGGAACTGCCCAGAATGAAAAGAACCACTCTGCCACGGATGGAGCGACATTACTGCACTCATAGAGGGAAGAAGCAATACATTTATTGACATAAACCAGGCATTTAGCAAAGTTTAACCACAAATGTGACTGTTTTAATAAGATTTGATGACCAGGCACGCTCAGTTATTTACTGCAGAGAGGACAGGATCAGACAGAACTGCCAGGGAGACTCCCTCCAGTTGAGCCGAGGTTCAGAAAGGACCCTCTTACTTTCTAAACTCCTTCTCAGAGAGGAATTTAGGTGTGGCTGGATCCAATCCT